CAAGGCCGACAGGCAGTGGCTCCCCGCACTCCGAGAGCCTCCTGATTCACCTCCTGGCACAGGGACCGAGCCCACAGCCGGTGCTGGTGAGCATGGCACGGGATGCTGCCCCAGCTCAGAGGGAAGGATGGAGAGGAAAGGACCAGTGCCCCCTCCTGGTGCCATGCGGGACATGGCAGGAAGGTCCTTTGGCAAAGCCATCCAAGAGGGTGCTGGGCTGCACCGGGCACCTGGGTCAAGGATGACCTTTCTCTCCTCCATCCCTTCCCTGGCCATGAGCTGGGGGCAGGTTTGGGGAGGCCGCCGAAGTCCCCACCCCCTCAGCTGCCAGTGAGGGCACCTGGCCAGCAGTGTCCCACACTGGCCCCCATCAGCCACCTGCATCTCAGCTCCAGGGTCCCCCGTCCCCTGGTCCCGCTCCCCATCACTCACCGTCTGGTCAGTGAGCGGGGGCAGGACGATGGTCTTCTCCATCGTGTTCATCACCAGCTTCCAGAGCTCCTTCAGCACCCGCTTCAGCACTGTCTTCTCACAGATCTTGGCAAAGAGCGTCAGGCTGCAGAGAGGGGACGGGGCTAAAATTCCTGGCACGGCACCCCTGTTGCCACCCCTTGCCCAGTCGCCCTGACCCTGCAGGTCTTCCACACTCCCGGGGCGGGTCAGGGGCATTAGGGAGGGTGGGGGTCCCTGTTGCCCCCCACACTCACTTGCTGTCCAGGAGGTCCATGATGGGCTGCAGGACGTTGTCAGCATCCTGTGCAACGCTGCTGCAGGTGCTGGCAGGGACGTTGCCGGTGCCCTTCACCTGGCCCAGGATGTCACCCATCTGCTTCACGCAATCCTCGATGTGTGGCTGGAAACTGGGGACCGCAATGCCCAGGCAGCTCAGCATCCCCCACAGCCGTGCCCGGGACGCGCTTGGCCAAGCAGAGCCCCCAGCCTGGCCTCAGCCGCAGCTCCTGGACCCCCAAACCTCTCCTTGGCCCACCACCCACGCCCTCTCGCCTGGGTGTACCTGGTAGCAAAGACTCGGCTCAGCTCGTCCAGGACGTTGTTAAGTTTCACCTGCAGTTCCTTGAGGATATCACTGGCTTCTGTGTCCAGCTGAAGGAGGGACAGGTTGGAGAAGGCATCAGAGTCCCTGGCCCAGCCCGGGGGGGGTCTCTGCACCCCAAATGCACCCCTGGGCAGGGTGAAGCCCATCTGTCGTCTGACATCGTAGGAGAGCAGTGTGCCATGGAGTGGGACAGTGTGATCCCATACAGGAGTGAGGAACTGGGGTCTGCTCCCAGCACTGTGGAGCTGGGGAAGGGGCTGCCTCTGGGGAGAAGGGACTTATCCAGCCCCTCCACAGGGCTCCCTCCTGGAGACCCCCGATACGCACCTCCTTCCCACCCATGGCTTCAAACATCTTCTCGAGCTGGACGCGGAGCTGCTGGATATTGTTCATCAGGATGCAGGGCTGGAGGGGTGGGATGGAGAGTGGGGTCAGCACCAACAAATGTGGCTGGAACAGCTGCCCACCTCTCCAGGTCCCTCCCACCCTGCACTGGGGGACACAGGGACAGTCATGGCACAGAGCCCTGCCTGGCAGCATTTCAGGGACTGCCATCGGACAGAGACCGAGGGCAGGACCAGCATCATGGGAACCAGCTCTGGAGCTGAGGTGATGGCTGGGGTCACTGTGTGGGGACAGTCCTGCCTGGCAGCACCAGGCAGGTGGCAAGCAGAAGGGAGATACATCACCACTTTCTCCTTCTCCTTGGAGCAGTACGAGGCAAAATCCTTGGAGATGATCTCGGCATACTGGAGTAGCACATTGCTGATGGTCTGCAGCCAAACGAGGGATGGGACCCACCCAGACAGCAGCACAGAGGAGGAAGGAGGGAGAGAAGGAGACCATGAGTCCCACAGCAGTGAAACAACCCAATGCCTGGATATGCCCTGAGACCCCTAGATCCTCTGGTCCCACAGATGAACCGGGAGCTGCATGGGCACAGCCACTGGAAGCCAGATCCAGATCATCTGGTCTCCATGGGCAGCTCCAGCACAGCTGTGAAAGCACCAGCCATCAAGCCTGCATGCAACTCCCTCCCACACTGCAGCGAGCCAGTGGCATTTAATTAATCTAGATTAATTAACCAGTTAAATCATTAATTAGCTAATCTCCCATGCTAGCAAAGCTGGGAGAGCCACAGGGTCTGTTCATGGCACGTTTGCTTGAGCATTGCTGTTAGAGGTCGTGCAATCTGTGTCCTATGCCACTGCCTACAGCTAGACAGGAGACAGCAGAGAGAGCCCAGGAGCTCCGGGCCAGGGCTGGGACCGGGGTCCCAGGGGTGCTCCCGTCCCAGTGGTTCCCATCCTGGCAGCTGCCCACCTTGGCAAACCTTCGCATGTAGTGCCCAACAATCTGGGGATCCGGGCACTCAAGTTTCTTGATGATCTCGAAGCTCTGGTTGAGCTGGGAGAAGACGTCCACCACGGAGCAAGAGAAGAGTGCGTGCTCCGACGTCTGCTGGAACTGGGGGAGTGAGAGGCAATGTCAGCAGGAGGCAGGGAGGGGAGATTTTGGCCCCGATGTGGGGACACGCTGGGCATTGAGGGACAAGCCCCTCGCCCACCCCCAGCTGCGGCTCCTGTGCCCACTGACAGTCCTGTTCATACCCCATCCTTCTTGTCCCGCTCCAGCGCTCCATGCAGGAAATCCCGGGACACCTCTTCATTCTCATCCAGCCACTGGATAACGAAGGGCTCGAACCAGCTGGAAGAGAGGCCCGTCCCTGGTGAGGCCAGCCAGCCCACGGGGTGCAAGGCACCCCCTCTCCTGCCCCCCGAGGGCTGCACTCACGCGGGGTATTCGGGCACGCGGCTCTTGAAGGAGGGCAGCTCGGTGACGTACTCGTTGTACAGCCACTTCACCTTGAAGTGCAGGTTCATGTAGTCCGCGCTTTTGCACAGGCGATGCTTGTCGTGCTCTGCACGGGGAAGGCGAGTGCGCGCAGGGGTTGCTTTGAGCCCCAAACCTGGGGAGTAGCTGCCCCAAGGGCAGCTCCGGGGATGCCAGGGTAACGGGGTGGAGATGGAAGTGCTTCTTGGGTGGGATTTAAGCTAGGCATCGTGTTGATGAGGGGGTGAAATGGGTTTGCCCAGGGAACAGGTGAGGTGGGAACAGAGTGCGGCTCCTGCCTGGTTCCCCCACCCGGCTCGGAGCGGCATGGGGGGACTCACCCTCCATCGCATACTTCATGTCCTGAGCAAAGAGGTTCCACATCACCTCGGCGCTGATCTTCCCCACATTCAGTTCCTGGGGGAACCTGGGGTGGGGGCAAAGCGTGGACACAGGGTGGACCAGCCCTCCATTTGGAGATACGTCCCCCCCACACCTCCCGTCTGCCTCAGTTTCCCCATCTGTAGAATGGATGTTACAACCCACTTCCAAAGGACTAAAGCTACCACTGCTGCCCTGTGGGCATCCCCCCGGGTGCGAAGCAGGGTCCCCTTTCCCAGCACCTACTCACTGGTTCAGGCAGGGCGTGTAGGAGTTCTTGTCCTCCTCGATAATGGAGACTATCAGAGTGATGAGCTTGGACCAGAAGTCCAGGTTTTTGATGCTGGGGCCCTGCTCCTCAGGGGGCACCTCGCCTTTCTTAGTCTGGAGTGATGGGGACACAGCAGAGGCTCCGGTCACCTGACCCGCGGGGCTCGATTTCATGGCGGGGCTAATGAGGAGGCAGGAGGGCTCTGGGAACACCCTGGAGGCCCCCACGCAGTCCCCGCCTTGTCTGACCCTGGTCTCAACCCCACAGCAGTGGGGCTCAAACCCTGCCCAAGGCTTGGGGCTCATTCTGCATGGAGCTGAGCGCTCTGGAGAGGGAGCAGGAGCATTGAGTGAAGGAGAAGGGCAGGGGATGGGGAAGGTCGGCGGGGGGCAGAGAGGTCCTCCCACAGCGCCCGGCATCCCAGCGCGTCCCAGCTCCCCCCGCCCCACACACCGGGTCTGTCTGGTACTCGCGACTGTACAGCTCGTGGCAGTTGTTGAAGATGTACTCGTAGGTGGAGTTGAGGCAGGCTTTCACGCAGTCCTTCACCACCTGGCTGGCTCGTGGCGGGCTCTGCAGCTCCTGGACCTGGGCGCACGGGGAGGGAGCCGTGCTGGAGGCAGACCCGCAGCCCCGGCCGGCCATCCGGGAGCTACCACGGAGCCAGCGCGACCCCAACCTTGCAAAGAACCGGGGCCAGCGAGGGTCAGGCTCCCCACCAGAGGGACGGGGCAAGTGGGGCCCCAGCAGTACCTTCATCCGAAAGAAGGTGATGCTGGTCAGCAAATCCACCGTGGACTTGAGATCCTGCAGCCGTTCAGGACTGCTGGCAGGGAAGTTGTTCTGCCAAAGGGGAAGAAAAGAGTGGAGTTGCACACAAAACTCTCACAGGGGCAAGTGGAGGGGGAGAAAACAGCTGCCTGTTGTTTCAGACCTTATTAGACCGGTGGGGAAACTGAGGCACAGCAGGCACCTTACCCGGTACATGGAGAGGTCAATCCGCAGCGAGTTGTGCAGCTGGTCGAGGAGTTTGACGAACCGCTCCTTCTGCGGAGAAACACCCCAGAGCCAGGTAAACGGGGGAAAGGAGGCAGGGACCGTCCCCCCCTCCCCGCTGCCCCTGGCTCTCTCTGCCCCCAGCCCGGCCCACGCCGCCCCCAGCTCATCCCTCTCCTTCCTGCTGTCCTGCTGTCCTTCCTTCCCTCCTTCCTTCATCAGAGCCCTGCCGGCGGGGCATGGGATGCCCACGGAGAAAAGCATGTCCTCGCTGGTGGCCGGGGCTCACCGGCAGCCGGCGACGACACACGGGGCCCACGGGGGCGCGCCCGGTG